TCTAGAAACGATGACGTCATGAACCCTTAAGGGCCGTCATCTCCTTTTTTTCCAAATCCCGGACGTCTCAGGTTTGGGAGTGACACAGTCACAGATTGCCACTGCCGGCCGCAAAAGGTGCGGCGAAACTGTCCTACACTTCAGTCTAGAAACAGCGCCGTGGGAATCACATCCAGAACGTGTATAAAATTTAACGGCTTCCCCCCCCCCCCCCTCTTCTCTCTCTCTCCTCCCCCCACTCTCTCTCTCTCCTCCCCCCCACTCTCTCTCCCTCCACTCTCTCCTTCCACCCCTCTCTTCTTTCCTCTCTCTCTCTCTTTCCCCCCACTCTCTCTCTCTCTCTCCTCCCTCTTTCTTGCTCGCTCTTACTTTCTCTCTCTCTCAAAATGTCAATAGGACATAGGCATATCCATTCATAAATTCATATAGGGTGAATATCCTCATTGGTTTATGCACCTACAAATTAGGAAAGAATAGGCAAAAGCGTAAAGCTGTCTGAGATATTCTTCTGTAATTTCGGGGTGCGGGGCCGTGGTCGTGGTCGTGGTCGTGGGGCAGTTGCTCTCGTCGCTGCCGTCGCCGCAGTCGTCGTGGCCGTTGCACTTGGACTCAGCCGAGATGCACCGCTCATTCCGGCACCGGAACTTGCCGTCCCTGCAGTGGGTGCAGATATAGACATACAGAGATACCCTTACACACACATATGTATATGTGCGTGTGTGTGTGGACACAGATATAGTTTGCATTGTTTGCAGATGAGAAGAATATCGAGGTACCTTCCCTGACAGAGATCCAAGCACTACAGGAGATCCGGAGAAATAGGACTAAACCACCATGCGACAGCAAATCGTTTGTGTATATCATATATATATATATATATATATATATATATATATATATATATATATATATATATATATATTATATATATATACTTATATATAAATATATATATACTTATATACAATATATATTTATATATATACATACATATATACATATGCATTCACACACACACACACACACACACACACACACAACACACATATATATATATATATCACACACACACACACACACACACACACACACACACACACACACACACATATATATATATATATATATATATATATATATATATATATATATATATATATATATATAATGAGTCCGACTAATCCCCGCGAGGCTTCGGGATTCCAAAAGGCTGTCAAAAACGACCTACTTGACCTAATGATATTTTTGTATCCTATGACACAAAGTGGTCCCAACCTGTGGAATCCCTACAGATAATTACAGATAATTATTTCTGTCAATAAACTGGAATCTTTCCAGAAAGTTTTCTTTCCTATAGCTACTGGCAGCATTACACTATTCATAACTAGTAATAACTGAATCTGAAAAGACGATAGACAGTGAACTGGGCCAAGGAGATTATCAAACATTTTTCGGGGGGCATAGAACAACGTTAAAAGTCTGAAGACCCTCGTCAACTCATTTTAACCCCCAACCTGCCTTGCGTTCGCCTTCAGGGTACTAGTCACACGCTCCCTCTCTCTCAAACAACTTTTTTGATTGGCTGAAAATGTCTCTATCAAATATTAAAGCAACGTGATGAAGTCTATGAACCGACCTTGGAAAGTGTATTTCGCATAAGAGAACACTATCTACAAGCCCACAACACTTCTCATTAGAATAAATGCACGTTTGTTATTCCATCAACGTACCTTCTTTGGCAACATTCCTGTTCTTCACACTGCTTGGTTTGAGTGTCGATCTCTCCACTGGGTTTCTGGCGCGTCCTGCTCCTCTGGCCTTCACCGCAGGTTGCGCTGCAGGTCGACCAGGCGCTCCAAGGGCCCCAGACGTACTCGCAGCTGGGCTTGGAGCTCCAAGTGAGCTTGCCGCTCTCCTTCTGACATCTCACGGACGCAGCCGTCGGCTCCTTGTTATTCCGGCAGTGGAGCGTGAGGTTCAGGCCCTCGTACGAGAGGGACTGGCTGCAGTAGTTTTCGACCAAGTCTTCGGCATGCAACTGTGGACAAGAAGTAGCCTCCCAGTGACGAACGTAGCCTTGCTGACGATTGACTGCCGTGTCTTTAACTCTGTTCATTTGCTCTAAGGTTTCCAGGCTATTTGAAGAGTCTTGGCGACTACGCTTCCAGTTTAGGAATCTCAGCTGAGCTTCAGTAACTTCTTCGTCAAAGTCAAAATATTTTTCATGAACCTAGAAATCTTTACACCATAACTCTCTGTGCAAGCTGCAGGCGTCTGTGATTTCTTAAATGAATTCATCAAATCATCTGAGGTTAAGATCCCGTCACCATAAATCATTTTCTTCAGGTTCCAGAAAATGAAATCGAAATTAAGATTAAGCCGTTCAAGTTTCTCGCCAAAGGTGTTCTCAGTCATATTTCCACTCAGGAGTTGATGGTACAGGTCTGCAACTCGTTCTGCTTTGGTGAAAGGATCCCCATAGAGAGTAAGGTGATTGTTA